TTTTTTTTTTTTTTTTTATGAAAACCGTAAATTACTAACCACAATTGATTTCTTTCATGCTCTTCAATTTTTTAATGGTTTCCACACGAAATTTTACGTGCAAATTAGTAGCATCCCTCTTTCATTTACATGCACGTTTCCGTATATGTACATTCAAAGAAGAAACAAACTTTATCTTTCGTATTAGTCAAAAATTGAATAAAAAAAGGAAGAGAGCCTGGATAGAAATCATGTAGTACCATTGATTTACAACGTTCCAATTTTTCGTGCAAAGCCACTTGTTACAATTAAGCATGGTCAACAATATAGTGTCAAAATTCAGTGAAAGAAAAATGCTATCGATACATTTTTTTTATCGGTAAAAAAATTATAACTACAATAAAGATGATGGGATCTAAATTCTCATATATTTATTCTAACATTTGTCATTACTCACTAGACTAGCTTGGTAGTTTACTTACAATATATTAGTATATTATTAATTCTGATGCTTTTTATAAGAAACAAATATAGTATATTTTATATTATAACTTATTTCATATAAAAAGGATCGGAAATAGTATTAAACATTAGAAAATTTTGTGAGTCTCACTTTTGATTGTATACTAAATGTTTGACTGTTTTGGTAATGTATAGGCTGGTTTACTGCTATGTCCACAAATAACTGATGGAACCCTGTTGAATAAGTTAGCAACACCTCCAAAAACACTTCTTGGTACTGAAACCATTGCTCATGTGGGTCTCATCTACAATATCTTCCTAACAGGCTTGGAGATGAACTTAGACACTGTCCTACTAGCACGAAAAAAGGCCACAACCATTGCTGTGGCTGGCACTCTCATTCCAATGGCATTAGGGTATGCCATATATTCTTTGGCTCAAGTTCTCTACACAACACCTACTAAAGACATGTCATGTTATGGCACAGCTAGTGCATATTTATTTTGGGCTTTGGTTCTTAGTGTCACAAACTATCCTGTTCTTGCCCACATTCTTACGGATCTTAAGATCCTCTACACGGGGCTTGGTAGAGTGGCCATAACTGCAGCCACAATTAATGATTTCTACAATTGGGCAATGTTTGTGTTGTTGATTCCATATGCCACTCACAGTGAAAGGCCCTTTGTTTCAGTGGTTTTGACAATGGGTTTTGTCCTTTTTTGCTACTCGGTGTTACGCCCCTTTCTTAGCCGATTGATACTTAAAATAACGGAAAAAAATGAGTGGGACAATTACAAGTTATCCTTTGTGCTCGTAGGCACTTTGGCTTGTGCACATGTTACTGAAATGCTTGGTACACACTCCATTGTTGGGGCCTTGGTGTATGGCTTGGTTCTTCCTCGCGGGAAATTTGCTGACATGTTGATGGAAAGGTTAGATGATCTTGTCTCTGTGTATTTGGCACCCTTGTTCTTTGTTAGCTGTGGCGTGAGATTCGACTTCCGCAGTTTTCAACTGCACAAATTACATAAAGTGGCCATAATTGTGGTCTTGTCATGCTTCGCAAAGATTTCAAGCATTATAATAGCTACAAGCTTCTATAAGATGCCCTTTCGAGATGGTGTGGCACTTGGAGCGCTTATGAACACCAAAGGCATCTTGCCATTAGTAATGCTAAACATTGCAGTTGACAGGAAGGTATTGGTTGACATATTTGAATAATAACATGTTACTATTGCCAATGCCTTTTCTAGCTATATTTGTTAGTCTTTTATTTATCAACTTAAAGTTACTGAATAGAGTTTAGTTTCTATGCATTGATAGCATATAAACTTATTTTACACTGTTCGGAAACATGTTTATTTACACTAGATCCACATCATGGCAGATGCTACATAGTTTATCTTCTGCATTTTTCTGATGTAAAAAATTAATTAGACTCGCTTCAAGATAAGTTTCCAAATACACTTACACTCTTAACCCATTAAAAATCATAATAATAAGATTTTTAAAGTGGTTATTGGTGAAAGTCAGCAAATATAACATGTAGATTAAAGTCTGTTTAGGTAAAAATCTTCACAAACTCTTATACCATAGAAAAATAAAAAGAAAAACAAAATAATTTTTTTATAAGTACATAAACTAATTTATAATTGTTCTCTTCTATTAATTCCTTCAAAATCTTATTTTAAATTTATGGATAAACTTATTTTAGTTTATGCAGAAACTCTTTTCAATTTTCTTCTATTTTTTATTTTAAAAGTGTTTTTGAATAAAATTATCTGAACAAATTCTTAATCTTTACACTATAACACGTAGAAAGAGCATATAGTATTTTGTATAATGAATAACTCTATCTAATATTATTTTCAGATGATGAGTAGGGATTTCTATACAGCCATGGTGACGGCTAATGTTCTGATGACTATATTGGTGTCTCCTACCATCAACTACATATACAAGCCAAGCAAGAAATTTGAGAAAGACAAGTTAAGAACCATACAAAACTTGAGGGCTGATGCTGAAATTCGAGTTTTGGTTTGTTTCCACAACACGCGGCAAGCAACAGGAATGATCAGCATCCTTGAAGCTTGTAGTGCACCTAATGTTACCCTTTTACATGTGTTTGCTGCTCAACTCATTGAGCTTAAAGGACGTGGCACTGCCTTTCTGGTTGACCTTGACCAAACAAGTTCCCACCAATCATTACAAGCAGACATGGACAACGTCACAAACATTTTCTCAGAATTCGCAAGGGAAAAAAGCCAAACTAGCGTGGAGAATCTCATTGCCATGTCCTCCTATGACACCATTCACAAGGACATCTACAACATAGCAGAAGAGAAACGTGCGTCTTTAATCATCCTTCCCTTTCACAAACAAGTAAGCGGGGATGGTGATCTCGAGGTGTCAAACACTGCATTCAAAGAGATAAACCAAAACGTGATGCAATGTGCACCATGTTCTGTGGGAATCTTGGTTGATCGTGGACATGGTTCACTTTCCAAAGCTAACTTGCGTGTTGCTGTGCTCTTCATTGGTGGCCCTGATGACCGTGAAGCCTTGGCTATTGCTTGGAGAATGGCAAAGCATCCAGGGATCCATCTTTCCTTGGTGCATATTCTTTTGTTTGGAAAAGTTGCTGAAGTGGATACAAATGTAGCATCCCTTGATGAACCTCAAGGGCTATTATCCACGGTTCTAGACAGTGAAAAGGAGAAGGAGTTGGATGAAGAGTATGTGAGTTTGTTTAGACTCATGGCAGTCAGCAATGAGGATTCCATTATCTATTCAGAGAAGCAAGTGCACACTAGTGATGATATTCCTTCAGTGTTTAATGAGTTGGACAAAGAGGGCTATGATTTGTACATTTTGGGACATGGAAAAGGGAGGAACTCTATGGTGCTGTCAAATTTGTTGGAATGGACTGATTGCCCTGAACTTGGGGTTATTGGGGACATGTTGGCTTCAAATAGTTTTGGTTCCTATTCTTCAGTGCTTGTGGTGCAACAATATGGGTTTGGAGGAACAAACTTTAGGACATGCAAAAGAGTAAATTCAAACAATAGGGATGTTGAAGCGCTTTTTGGAAAGCCCGAGTAGAATCAATATGTTGGTGATTATATATGAGTTTTGAAAATGAAAAGGATTAGCTAGGAATGAAATGCAAAGAGGATCGTGCAGCATCAGCTAAGGCATGCATGCATGCAAGAAACTTGAAACTTGAAATATGCAGCGTGCTAGCTGCCCAAGAATTGAGATTGAAATCTCCAAGTCAATCCATAAAACAATTACATTGTGGAGAATTGTATGGATCAGTTGTATCTCTCGCTGTAAATACAAATGTCTAGCATTTTGGTATAACACTTCCAACTTCCAACTCATTTCATGCTATATGAATGACAGAAACTGTTTGAAATGAAATGTAAATGAGTAATCCTTTAGTTTTATTTTTGGATAAAATTTAATTTAATCTTGTAATTAAGTTTGTGTATGTATCATGTTCATATATTGTTTATTTATTATTGAGTACGTAAAATAATTAACAACATATTAAGAGTTAATCTACTCAAACTAATTTCACTTGAAAACTCATGATTTACATTAAATGTCAATAATCTAATTATTGAATCAAAAGTTCTTAATATATACAAATTAAGCTTATAAATTTTTAAGAAATTTAAAAATTATTTAATATTTTATTTCATTAATTTA